CTCCAACATCTTGTCATCCAATCTGTCCACTTGTCCAGTCTGGTCCACAATTCATCCGAATCCACAACCAGCACTCATCTCCTTTTGGTAATCCCCTAACTCCGGTATTTCAGTTATCTGTATATCTGTCCTGCTCCCTGATCCATTACCTATGCTTCATTTCTGTTTCATTATTTGTGATCTGTTTCTACTTACCAATAGACTATCCATATGCTTCATACATAGCCTTGGACCCTGCTGATTGATCATTCTGTTAGATACCTATAGTATATAACCTCCTGTAAATCTCTGTAACACCTCAGTTCGAATATCAACTTAGTTCTGCTCATTCCTGTCCTCTGGACCTGAGTACCGCTACTCTTGTCACCCTCTGAGACTTAGGATTGATTCCTATAGTCTATCCACATCTGCCTCTGTCTATGACAGCCATTACCACTAGTTTCTAGTCTGGATGAGGGATAAGTATCATAGGGCTAATCTGGACGAATCCAGACTAGAAACTAATGGTAATGGACTGTTGGAGACAGAGGCAGATATGGATAGACTATAGGAATCAATCCTAAGTCTCAGAGGGTGACTGTCATATCCTGTATGCCAGACATAGATCCCATCATATTCCCACGCTTTCCGGACCTATTTCCGGACCCCATATCCAACTCATTCCTGGATCCCCTATCCTGTCCACCCTACACACATTCCGTCCAGCAAGACATCTGGACTTTACCTCCTCTCGGATTCCGGACTACATCCACCACCTCACATATCTCAGTCCTGTTTCTGCCCTGCCTTCTGGATCCCCAGATCTCCGGACCTATTCCCACCCTCTGTCCAAGATCCTGTGCCTATCCCCATTTAGGCATCTCTGCCTTTCCAGTTCTCAGTTATCTCTGTTTCCATCTTGCTGATTGATCCTTGCACTAGTTTCATCTCCGAGTTCATTTACTTATGTTCTGTCTTACTTACCAATGTGTTTCCGCATGCTCGTACATAGCCTTACTCCTTTGCTTACTGATCCTCTCAGATAGCCTCTAGTATATAACCCCTGTACAACTACAGTAGAGTCCTCAGTCTGAATATCATCTTAGATCCTGTTCTACTTGCCAATCATCTTCTGGACTTCAGTCCGTCTGAGTCTTGTCCTTTTCCATAAGGCCTAGGGAAGGATTCCCTAGGCTGGAATTCTGGACCTTTGGATTTGTCCCCTATGTCTCTGTCCCAAGTCTAGGGATTGCTTCCCTAGGCTGGAGTCTTACCTTTCCGGCACTTACCCTCTTTCCAGACTTAGGTCCACTTCCTGTCCCTCCAACTCTACCTTAGGGTAGTCTACCTCTGTTTGCTTCTGCATCAGACTTCATCCGATGTAGCCCCTATTCCTTCCGGACCTCCGGACCTCCTATCCTCTGTACCTCCAGACATCCTGTCCCTCATACCTCCAGGTATCCTGTCCTTCGGACATTCTGCCCTCCATACCTTTGGACATTCTGCCCTCCATACCTTTGGACATTCCGTCCTCCATACCTCCAGACCTCCTGTCCTCCATACTCTGGACCTCCAGACATCCTGTCCTCTGGACCTCCTATCCTTCCATCCTGTTTTCCTGTAGAAGTATTACCTTGCAGCAGGAACTCTCCTGAGCATTTCCTGCATTCCTCCGGAACTCTCCTGCGCTCTTCCAGACGTTTCCCGCGCTCCTCCGGAAGTCCTCCCACACTCTCCACCAGAGTAGCCAGCCTCTGGAAGTCCTCTGAACTTGTTGGACCATCATTGGACTTCCTCTGAAATGAAGGGCACATACTTGGGTAAGGGGCACAGCGTACGAGCTGAGGCCAAGCCCCTCTGAGTCAGTCTCTCTCTCCTTTGAGCATGGTTCTTAACAGTGACGAGAGTAGAGATACTCAAGTCCAGAGGACAGGAATGAGTAGAACTAAGATGATATTCAAACTGAGGTGCTACAGAGAGTTACAGGAGGTTATATACTATAGGTATCTAACAGAATGATCAATCAGCAGAGTCCAAGGCTATGTACAAAGCATATGGATAGTCTATTGGTAAGTAGAAGCAGATCACAAATAATGAAACAGAAATGAAGCATAGGTAATGGATCAGGGAGCAGGACAGATATACAGATAACTGAAATACTGAAGTTAGGGGATTACTGAAAGGAGATGAGTGCTGGTTGTGGATTCAGATGAATTGTGGACCAGACCTGGATGAGTGGATTGATTGGATGATGAGATGTTGGAGGGAGATAAGATGTGGATAGGATCAGAGATAAGATGTGGATTGGATCCGAGATCCAGATATGTGGATATGACAGTATCCCCCCTTTAGGGCTGATCCCTAGAGGCACAAGATCTGATGATATGAGGGCGAGAATTGATGGAGAAGCTGATGGATGGAGTTTGTGAGTTTGGGTTTCCACAGATATATGGATGCCAAAGTGTCCTAGGTCTTCCTTCCTTTCCTCACTCCACCCACTTATACTAGCTTTTGAATATCATGTCTGGCAAAAAATCCAGTGGTCAGAAATCCACTAGGGAGACTCTTGTGGAACTTCAGCACCAGATGGCTCTCATGGAGGCTGCAGCTCAAAGAGAGGAAGAGGAAGAGGAGCAGAAACATCAGGAAGCAGAATGGAAATGTGAGGAGGAGAGGAAACAGATAGAGCAGTCCGAGCTCTGGGTAGCACAGGAAGAGAAGAGGCAGAGGACTGAGGTGGCCAGGAGGGTGAGTGATGCTACCTCTATCAGATCCGGAACTTACCCCTGAGGAACTGGAAGTGGAGGATGCCTCCAATCTGCAGACTGGAATAGAGACAGATGAGGGGAGTGTGGAGTATGATCACCAGGCCTGGGTTGCTGCTGCCAACAGCATAGTAGCAGAACTGGCCCAGACCAATGGACTTCTCCAGGAGAGTATTGGAGCTGTGGAAGGGAGTAGGTTGGTGATGGAGCAGATGAATACTAACATGGAGGACTTCATCCAGCAGCAGAGGGACTTCCAGTCCATCCTCCTGGAGGGGATCCAGAATGGATTCTGGATTCCGGATGTCTCTACTCCAGATGATGCTGACAAGGATGTTGAGGAGGCTGGAGGATCCAGAGGGGACATGGAGACTGATGAATGAGGAGCTCCAGATTTCTGCTTCTGCCCCTAATGTACTTGTATCTGATTTTGTACTCATTGTAACACAATTGGACTGGGTTTGTCTGGGTATGAAGAGTGAAATACTGAAACTAGGTCTGATGCATTTCCAAGGTCTGTGGCTAGTAACCCGAGTATTGCCCCTTATTTCAGGAAGGCAAGACTAATGTGTCCGGAAGGTTGGACGAGTAGCGTAACAGATCCAGATGACTTCCAGATGAGGGATAAGTATCATAGGGCTAATCTGGATGAGTCCAGACTAGAAACTAATGGTAATGGACTGTCGGAGACAGAGGCGGATATGGATAGACTATAGGAATCAATCCTAAGTCTCAGAGGGTGATTGTACATCAGACTTTGTCCAATGTAGCCCCTATTCCTTCTGGACCTCCAGATGTCCTGTCCTTCAGATGTTCCGCCCTCTGTACCTTTTGATGTTCCATCCTCCTAACCCTCAGACATCCTGTCCTCCATACCTCCATGTCCTATCCTGAGTACTTCCAGACATCTTGTCCTCTGGACCTCTGGACCCTCAGTCCTCCTGTCCTCCATACTTCCAGACCTCTGGACATCCAGACATCCTGTCCTCCCGTCCTCTGGACCTCCTACCCTTCCATCCTGTTTCCTGTAGAAGTATTACCTTGCAGTGGAAACTCTCCTAAGCACTTCCTGCATTCCTCCAGAGCTCTCCTGTGCTCCTCCGGAAGTCCTCTAGCACTCCACCAGAGTAGCCAGCCTCCAGAAGTCCTCCAGACTTTGTTGGACCATCATCGGACTTCCTCTGAAATGAAGGGCATATACTCAGGTAAGGGGCACAGCATACGAGCTGAGGCCAAGCCCCTCTGAGTCAGTCTCTCTCCCCCTTGAGCTGGCTGTTTTGGACCTGGGATGATGCCTGCAAGATACATGTTTTCAGGCTTGTACCTGATATCTGATGGCAGATTCAAGCATGCCATAGAAATGATTCATGAGGAGGTGCTGGCACTACACAAGTTCATACCCTCTGGATGAAAGAAATCAACATGTAGGGCAAAGGCATAACATCTCTCCTCTCCTCTATCAATAAAAAGCAAACCTGGCTCTGGGCCATGAAACTGATGAAGAAATTGAGCTTAAAATGCATTTTTTATCAAGGGTGGATATGGAGAGTTGATTGAGTCCTGCAAATCATTGCAAGCTTGATCCATTGCAGCTTTGATATCTGCATGGGAAAGGAGACCAGCAAGATAGTCTTTGAAATTGTGGTACACAAATGTCTTCTTTGGTCAGAGTACTCCATCACACCCATGCTCAAGTACTGGGTGACCACATTCAGTCTCTGGTGTGGGTCAATGCGTGCAACACTCAGGATATGTAGGAATAGTTGAGCCTTCTGCATAATGAGGACCATAAGTACAATGGCAGCTGGGGCAGACCACATGTACAACAGTTTTCCCAATGAGATGGAATTTTGTGAGCATGGTTTCAGAAGTCATTGGAATTTGCCTCAGCACATTTTCATGAGAAGAGCTAAGGCTACCATCCAATCTCTGGAATATGAGGAATAGCAAGACTGAAATGAGTCCCATAATGAAGTCACAGCCTCATCTACTGACCCCCATGATGATTTTACACATCACACCGATGAATAATGCAACTTGTGCAATTTCATTGTAGTGATTCACAGGGGATTCATAGTGAATATCTATTGATTGATGAGTACAGTGCCATGATTAAAATGGTCAACACTCACCAGTATCAAACTCAACTGCTGAGCATAAGTCCCTTGCAGACGGCTTGCAACTGTTGAAGTAGGCTTCTAAGTTGTCTATCTCTAACATGATTGCCTTCTTCTGTGTGACCACAAGGTCCACCTTTCATTTCACTTGCTCCACAGCTGTGTGAAGCAAAGGTAACTCACAATGAATGTCATCAGAATTACCAGCAAGTAATGAGTGAAGGCACTGTTGAATGCGCAACTCAATATTATTGAGAACTTTCAAGTCCTTCATGGTCCGCCAATTTTCCCTTGGTCCAGTGATTTTTGCACCTTTGGGTGTCTTGTGCAACAAAGTGGCAGACAAAGTAAGTTGTTCAAGACCATCTACCAGAGCTGGGATAGATACTGGTGTGGTGTTGGGGCATTCTGGATGTTCAGGTGCATGAGCACATGTGCCACTGGGTTGTGCAACAGAAGGATCTGACAACATGAGTTGCTCAAGATCATCTGCTAGAGTTGGAATAGATGGTGAAGTAGGATTGGGTTGCTCTGGCTCAGGGCCATGTACAGGAGTAGAGCCATCCATATGAGTGAGTGCAACACATTTGGCTTGTGCACGTTGGGTACACTGGAGATGAGCTGCCATGAGACACTCTGCAATGAGCACCCCCTTAGGTAAACCATCCTCAGTACGACCACCATTTTTGATGCACTTCTGGCAAGTGCACCGCTTATAAACTACACAGGATGTGGGCATGAAGGGCAGAGGCGGCCACAATGAGACAGCCTCTTGTCAGCAATGGAACTTGATTCTGGGGAGATGATGAAATGGTAGGGTCTGAGTGCAGGGAGGCAGGCTTTCAAGGGAGGCAAAAACAACAAGTAGTGGCAAAACAATATGATAATAACAACAGTTGCTAGAAGATGGCAGAATATCAATAACAACAGTGAGTTTGGTATGACAATGCTACCTTCAATAATAACTACCATATCAGGAAATGAACACAGGGGAGCCAAAATGGGGCACAAATGTAGATGCCATTGTCTTTAAAATGCTGGACTTCACTTCCAATGGCTGATGTGAGATTGAAGATGCAGAAGGGGAGTGGAGAATGGACTTCTGAGGACCAGTAGTTCCAGATGTTGTCCAGGGCTGAGGAATAATTGTTTAAGTATGAGTATAAGAGTGGAAAGATTCAAGGGACCAATGAGAATAAGAAATGAAAGTCAAGACAAGTCCTCCACAAGGTGGGGTGGATGGCCCTTGATGCAGATGCCAGGCAGGATATGAAGGACACTTACTGTTACAACCGAGCTAAGTCTGTGACAAGCAAATGAGTGAGTGAGTGACATAGAACTTGGATTGGGGCTCACACCAAGCCTGCTTGTTAAGGTTGTACTCAAAGGATAACTGGATCCAAAGGGCTTTGGCCTCAGCTTGTGCACTGTGCCCCTTACCTGAGTATTGCCCCTTATTTCAGGAAGGCAAGACTAATGCATCCGGAAGGTTGGACGGGTAGCATAACAGATCCGGATAACTTCCGGATGAGGGATAAGTATCATAGGGCTAATCCAGACAAGTCCAGACTAGAAACTAACGGTAATGGACTGTCGGAGACAGAGGCGGATATGGATAGACTATAGGAATCAATCCTAAGTCTTGGAGGGTGACAAGAGTAGAGATACTCAAGTCCAGAGGACAGGAATGAGTAGAACTAAGATGATATTCAAACTGAGGTGCTACGGAGAGTTACAGGAGGTTATATACTATAGGTATCTAACAGAATGATCAATCAGCAGAGTCCAAGGCTATGTATGAAGCATATGGATAGTCTATTGGTAAGTAGAAACAGATCACAAATCATGAAACAGAAATGAAACATAGGTAGCAGATCAGGGAGCAGGACAGATATACAGATAACTGAAATACCGGAGTTAGGGGGTTACTGAAAGGAGATGAGTGCTGGTTGTGGATTCAGATGAGTCGTGGACTGGACCAGACAAGTGGACAGATTGAATGACAAGATGTTGGAGGGGGATAAGATGTGGATAGGATCGGAGATAAGATGTGGATCTGAGATGAGATAAGGGTCGGATCTGAGATCCAGATATGCAGATATGACACTGCTGCAACCAGTGAGCATTTGATGGTATGAGTTCACAGCAATCAATCTAGTTGTGAGGGCTATGATCAATTATTGACAATTACGATGGTGAAGTCATCAATTGTTCTCTTCTCAAGGCTAATGTCATATGCCATTCCGGACTCTCAACTCTAAATCCGCTTCTCTGGATATCCAGATCCAAGATCTGGATCTCCAATGATCTGATCTATCTTTATCTTCCTTCTGGAATCCAAACCCTATATCAGTGCCCAACCCCATTTAGACTTCCCCTGTCTCCAGACTCCGGTTAACTATGTTTCCCTTCTGATTATTGATCCATTACATACATCTCATTTCTGGTGTCTTAATAACTGAGGGTCTTATATAAATGTGTGTAAAATGTAATGACATCACAATTACACTAGGATAAGACTTCTTGCCAGTCCTTGATTAACATGGTCTATGACTTTTCTTCTTTCGTGGTAGATAATGTGTGAGTTCTTGGGAGGCTCGCTAAACCAATCTATGTGATTAACTTAGCTGGAGCTTTTGTGTTATATCCCAACTTATAAACTTGTTGTTAAGGTCATACTCAAGGGCTTCAGCCTCAGCTCATGTGCTGTGCCCCTTACCCGAGTATTGCCCCTTATTTCAGAAGGGCAAGACTAACATGTCCGGAGGGTTAGACAAGTAGCGTAGTGGATCCAGATGATTTCCGGATGAGGGATAAGTATTGTAGGGCTAATCTGGATGAGTCCAGACTAGAAACTAATGGTAATAGACTGTCAGAGACAGAGGCGGATATGGATAGACTATAGGAATCAATCCTAAGTCTTGGAGGGTGACAAGAGTAGAGATACTCAAGTCCAGAGGACAGGAATGAGTAGAACCAAGATGATATTCAAACTGAGGTACTACAGAAAGTTACAGGAGGTTATATACTATAGGTATCTGACGGAATGATCAATCAGCAGAGTCTGAGGCTATGTACAAAGCATATGGATGGTCTATTGGTAAGTAGAAACAGATCACAAATAATGAAACAGAAATGAAGTATAGGCAATGGATCAGGGAGCAGGACAGATATACAGATAACTGAAATACTGGAGTTAGGGGATTACCAAAAGGAGATGAGCACTGGTTGTGGATTTGGATGAATTGTGGGCCAGACTGGATGAGTGGACAGATTGGATGACGAGATGTTGGAGGGGGATAAGATGTGAATAGGATTGGAGATAAGATGTGGATTGGATCTGAGATCTGGATATGCAGATATGACACTTGTCTAGGATAAACCGTCTAGACACTGGAATGTGGTTCTGTTAAGAACCATGCTCAAAGGAGAGAGAGACTGACTCAGAGGGGCTTGGCCTTAGCTCGTATGCTGTGCCCCTTACCCAAGTATGTGCTCTTCATTACAGAGGAAGTCTGATGATGGTCCAATGAAGTCTGGAGGACTTCTGGAGGCTGGCTACTCTGGTGGAGAGTGCAGGAAACATCCAGAGGAGCACAGGAGAGTTCCGGAGGAATGCAGGAAATGCTCAGGAGAGTTCCCACTGCAAGGTAATACTTCTACAGGAAAACAGGATGGAAGGATAGGAGGTCCAGAGGACAGGAGGACAGGATGTCTGGATGTCCGGAGTATGGAGGACAGGAGGTCTGGAGGTCTGGAGGACAGGACATGGAGGTATGGAGGACGGAACATCTGAAGGTATGGAGGGTGGAATGTCCAAAGGACAGGATGCCTGGAGGTATGAGGGTCAGGACACCTGGAGGTACAGAAGACAGGAGGTCCGGAGGTCTGGAAGGAATAGGGGCTACATCAGATGAAGTCTGATGTAGAAGCAAACAGAGGTAGACTACCCTAAGGTAGAGTCAGAGGGACAGGAAGTGGACCTAAGTCTGGAAAGAGGGTAAGTGCCGGAAAGGCAAGACTCTAGCCTAGGGAAACAATCCCTAGACTTGGGACAGAGACATAGGGGACAAATCCGAAGGTCCGGAATTCTGGCCTAGGGAGTCCATCCCTAGGCCTTATGGAAAAGGACAAACTCAGATGGACTGAAGTCCAGAAGAAGATTGGGCAAGTCTAAGGTGATATTCAGACTGAGGACTCTACAGGAATTGTACAGGGGTTATATACTAGAGGATATCTGAGAGGATCAGTAAGCAACAGAGTAAGGCTATGTACCAGCATGTGGAAACATATTGGTAAGTAAGACAGAACATAAGTAAATGAACTCGGAGATGAAACTAGTACAAGGATCAATCAGCAAGACGGAAACAGAGATAACTGAGAACCGGAAAGGGGGAGATGCCTAAATGGGGATAGGCACAGGATCTTGGACAGAGGGTGGGAATAGGTCCAGAGATAGTACAGTTAATATCCGGAAGGCAGGGTGGAAACAGGACTGAGATATGTGAGGTGGTGGATGTAGTCTGGAATCTGAGAGGAGGTAAAGTCCAGATGTCTTGCTGGACGGAGTGTGTGTAGGGTGGACAGGATAGGGGATCCAGGAATGAGTTGGTTATGGGATCTGGAAACAGGTCTGGAAAGCGTGGGAATATGATGGGATCTATGTCTGGCATATGGGATATGACAGGTTCCTTGTTAAGATAATCCTCTGTAGAGACTACGGTCTCAAATATGAATACATTGACCAAAGACTGGTTGGTCAAATAAGCACAAAGTGGTGAGAAACTGGTCTCACAAATGATCAGATTGACCAAAGCTTGTGTTGGTCAATATCAGAAAACTAGGTGAGAAGCTGGTCTCACATAAACTAAGTTTCTATCATAAGAAACTTATGTAATCTCAAGGGAATGTCTTTTCCCTGCACTTGGTACTTCAAAGGGGCTTTCTCTGTAAGCAACAATCTTCACAGTGAGTAGCTCAAACTGAGATTCAAATGATTGCAAGTGGGACATCCTATTTTTGGGGGGGAGAATGGGCCCTCCTTATATACATATTGTGTGGGAATATTATGTAAGTAAAAAAGCGGAGCAATGACATCAGAAGTGGAGCAGAATATTCCATAGGTGGAGTAATGACATCAGAGGTGAGTCATTGTGGAGCAGAACATTCCAGAACAAATGGCATCATCATGACATCATAACTTTCAACAGAATACTTGCAGGAGTATCTGTGGAGCCATATGACATCATTATGACATCATACCCTGTAGGTACAATTTTGTGAAGTATCTGATGGGTCAGAGCATCCCAATAGAAAAATAAATCAAGGAAATACTAGAGAAAACAACTCAGAAATAATAATACAATAACAAGACACAAAACACAGGCTTTTTGGATAGGTTTTTGTTAGGCTTTGAACTTTTCTCTATGGTTTTCTTTAGCCAAAGTGAATAAGCCAAAGACAAGGCAATACCTTGACCTTCTTGCTTCACAATATCAACTAGGTCATTATGTGATTCCCATCTCACAAATGACTTTTCTTCAAGATATAATAAATTCATGAATCACAGAGGGGAAACTGAACTATATGACCAAGGTTTGAAACCAAGGTATGGGTTGACTAGCCTGATGCCTAAGCTAACAGACTTTGTCTTTTGGGGGGGCTACCTAGTAGTCATGTCCATGCATGATTCCCAAATCATGCATTCCTGTGTCCTCTGGATATGAGCCAAGTCTCTTG